ATACAGCTCCCGCTATCAGCACGTGACAGACGGATGCCTGACTTCCTTCTGTAAGGGCAGTGGGCTTAGACTCTGGTGCTAATCACCTAAAAGCTGCTGCCCAAGGTTGGCTTGTTCAGGGCAAGCGGGCGGCTCCACTAAACTGAGTCAGCAAAATCTTAGAAGGATTAATTATCAATTGCGATCCTACCCAATTACATTAATTGACCAGTGATTCCATCCAAGAAGAGCTGCTGATATTCATTCTCTGTCCTCAGGATTTTACTGGAAGAACTCTGTGCTTTAAATGTGATTGAAGTAAGTGCTGAAAAGGGCTATATGTCAGGAATGAACATTGTTCCTGAATTCTTTGAATTTAAAATACAGATTCAGACACCAGAAGATTTGTGTCTGTTTGTCTTCAATCCACTTTCGATTCCCAGGGTACACTTAGTAAAATGTATCTATACCTAAATACTGGTATCTTTAACAACTCTTTCCAAGGCCTACCCCCCCAACCAGATATTTCGCATTTCTAATTTGCTTGGTACATAGGCAACCAATGTGCATAATTGAACTGCAAATGGAAGCACGCTTGCTACTTTAGTGAAATTAGAATTCAGTGAAGGTTATAAAAATATTAAACTTAATATCATTTTACAGGAAGCGTAAGTATTTTTGATGGGCCCATAATTTTACCACTTCACCTGCTGTATCTGCTGGCAAACATGGTTTGGAATATTAATGGAAAACTCCTTCGTTATTAAGCTGCAGTATTAAAAAAAAAAAAAACCTACAACCACTAACAGCTTACCACAAAGACATTTTCAGAAATTATCTACCTTAAAAATATTTCCCCACCAGACAGTTCAGAAAACAGATTTAATTTTGTAAAGCTAGAACAAATGGAGAGACCCCCCACTGCTTCAAACAATTCATTAATTCAAAAAGTTCTATTTTCCTTGCATTTAAAATCTCTGGGGGAAAAAATCCAATCTCCTCTTCTCCAATCTCCATTTAAGTGTGCCTATTTTGCTGAGGTCCAGGTTTGAATAATTCAAAACCATCTCTAGTAGATGGTGTGTATCAAGGAGCAAGGGGCCAAAACCATGGCATTCTGGGCTAATTAATGCAAACACAAAGCACCCAGCACCCTCCCACCCACTGCACTGCCTCATCCAGCAGACAAGACCCTCACAGGGCAATCAGAAAGAGATGAAAGGAGGACCTACCTTCATCTAAAGGGCAAAGAGAATGACTCACTCAGAGATTCGGGTGACTAGACCCCACAACAGCCCGCTGGGAAGTCCATAAGTTTCTAGCTATGGCACTTAAAGCTCAGTTCATACCGGTTTCCAATTGTAACTTCACCACCCGAGTTTATAACACGGGGATTTGTTCTGTTTAAGGACCCCAGTATGCGATGGGCCATTTTCTGAAGAAAATAAAACAGGTCAGAGCTGAGACTTTTGACACAGAATGTGAGGTCCCAAGTATCAGATTAAGCTGACGGCGGAGAAAAGGTTCACAGGGTATGTCTTGAAAGACATCAGACAGCTAGAACGTCTCATTCCCCCATAAAAACCTTGACCTGCAAGCCTTCAAAACCACAGTCTCTCTGGCCAGCTCCAGATACCATCTTCTTCCTCCTCTTTCTCTCCCGGGTTGCCCCCCTTCTCTAAGAATGATTTATAACCCTTCCTAGTAGATATTAGGGTTTTCAGAAATGGGGGAAAGAACAAATTCCTGTACAGTATGTTGCAACATTCTGTGTAGACAGGGCAACATTGATAGTTATTTTCAGTTGACCTGATTACCTCCTTTTCATATTTGAAAATCTACTAGTGACTTTTCGCTATAAACAAATGCATATTACATAAAGAAGAAAAACAAAAATTTCTTAAATTAGAATTAGAAAAATTCCATAAATTAGTAAAACTCATAAAACTGACGTATTTCTAAAAATGCAATTCAGATATGTACAACCCACCTTCAACAGAAACCAGCCAGTCTTTGTCAAAGTTAGTGGAAGAAAATGCAACCCCACTCTTGCACCACACTTCCAGTTAAAATTCTGCAGCACTGGTAGAACACTCTGTGATGTGAATACCATTCCCTCCATCTTACAAACGAGAAAACTAGAACATTCAGAGGTTAGAGTTTTGGCCAAAGACAGGCCAACAGACTCAACAGCAGGGCTTGGGTTTCCTCTTGGGTTTCCGCACCCAGGTCTACTCATCTCTGAGTAGAGTGGGTGCAATCCAGCTCAGCCACGCGCGCCCACAGAAGGGAAGCTGGCCTTGAACCCTCTGCACTGCCCACTGCTGGCGTCCTCCTCCTCCTTCTGAGGAGAGGCTCCCAGCTGAAGGAACCCGGAACTCCACGTTCTCACCTAGATGCCATCACATGGCTGTATTGTAAGAGGACCCCTGAAAAAGTACAATGCTTTCTGCCCCAAGACACGACTGTCTAAAAAACAATACAGTGGCACCTCAGCACAGAAAACCCCAGCAAGTGGAGGCTGGCCTCCTTTGCCGACAGGTGAAGCTGGCCTGGAAAGGCAATGAAATCAGGCTTCACCCAGGTGCACCTCAAGTACTGAGGCCAACGCACACCAAATAAAAACAAAGGAGCCCTTTCTCATGTGTAAGCATAATCTTGTCTCATTAGAAGGAAGGCCTGCAAACACAAGGACATTTTGTTATTCAACTGCTTTTTTCCCCAAGTACATGATACTCCAAGAGCCAAGGTATTTTGTTTCACATTTATTTGTAAGCAGGGCGTCCCGACACTGCTGAGGCAGTTGTTGCTGTCCAGTCACTAAGTCGTACCCGACTCTGCAACCCCATGAACTGCAGCACGCTAGGCTTCCCTGTCCTTCCCCATCTCCCAGAATTTGCTCAAATTCATGTTCACAGATGCCATCCGAACATCTCGTCCTCTGTCGTCCCCTTCTCCTCCTACCTGCCCTCAATCTTTCCCAGAATCAGGGTCTTTTCCAATGAGTCAGCTCTTCACATCAGGTGGCCAAAGTATTGGAGTTTCAGCAACAGTCCTTCCAATGAATATTCAGGGTTGATTTCCTTTAAGACTGACTGGTTTGACCTCCCTGCTGGGGCAGCTGGTGTCACCAAAGAGCCACTGGATCAAGACAGACCCCTGGCCTCCACTGCCAGCTCTGCCACCATCACCACGTGCCCCTGAATTATTACCCCACCCCCACCCCCTGGACCTTTCCTTCTTATCTGCAAAAGGAAAGCCACGACCACAAAATCCTGGTCTTCCTTAGCAGACAATCACAAATCAAAACAAAGGCCCAGGGTTAGTTATTACTTTAAAAACCACTCCTCTGATGGGGGAGGGGCGAATCCTTCTGGAAGAGATACACTTATGCTCACCCATTCATATTTAGTATCAGAAGGCACACCTACACTGTACATCAGACTGTTGAGACTATTTTATTCAGAAAACGATGTTGCTGCCCCAAATTTACTGTGAAAACTGGGTAAAAGTCTCATCTACTGACAACTGTGCTTAAATGTGTCACAGGCAAGGAAATCAAGAGGTAAAAAAGAAGTCAACTTTAAAAAGGGAATAAAAAACATCATTTGCCCTTGATTTCAACAAAAAAACTCAAACCACATGAATCCAAGGAATGCTGAAATGTCAACATCCTGGGTCCCCCTCCCTGACCAGTGTGCTGCAGTGCAGAAGGTTTGGGGACAAGAGCCAGACAAGCAGGATCTATGTCTTGGTTTTGTCACCGGCCAGCTTCGTGAGCCTGTGGCCACCGGAGTCATTCTGGTACAATGGGGTAACAACAATGCATTCCACACTGGGCAGATAACAGAAATTACATGAGATAATACGTGTGCAGACCCAGCACAAAGGAGATCCTCAACAAATGTTGGCTCCCACCCTCCTGATTCCTCCTGGATAATAACCTGATTCGAGAGTCAGGTCTTGTAGGCTCAGAGAGAAATACACAGGGGGACAGCCGGTGTGGGCGCACCCTAATGAGAGAACACAGAGGATGCAGGGAACAAGAGTCTGCAGAAATCATGAGATAATGAAACACCTTATATCTTTCCAAAGAGGTGAGTCATTTTCTTTCAGGTGTCAAATGAATAGCCAAATGTATCACAATCAAAATCCGTCAGGAAAAAAGTCAGCCAGATACCCATTTCAAATGAGGAGTAGCTTCTAATGATGCCTCAGAGCCCTTGGTGACAGTCTCCTGATACTTGAAGGATTAACACACACTCCCCCAGAGCTCCTCCACAAATACAAAAGGCACTGCTGTATCCAGAAGTCCTAATGAGCTCAAAGTTTATTCCATTTCTAAAATACATTTAAACTGAAACCCATCGCTTACATCTCCTTAATTCTGAAATCCAATTCTCAGTTTGGGCACTCTACCAGCATCTTTTCAAAAGTTGGACTCTGGAAAATAAATGCACTCTCAGACAGAAGGGGGGAAAAAACCCATCAGACATGCACAAAACTTGCACCCTTGAATACACTCCAATTTCCTCAGCCTTCATCTCCCTTAGCTTTTCACAATCAGTAAAGTGCAGTTACCAATCATTGGAAATGACATGAGCTTAATGTCAGAAATCATTTAGCTTAAATAAGAAAATAACTCCATTTAGCTTTCTCCCACAAAGTAAAATTAAGTTTGTTTAGCCCTTTTTTTATTTATTGCCAAAGGGCAGATTTAATTTCAAGGGAGTGAAAACCCAACTCTTTCTCAAGTAAAGTCTGATGTTACCACTTTAATTTTGCTCTAACTATTGAGGCACAAAGGCTGTAAGCATTAAACTAAAGAGCCATTAATTATGGAAAAACAATAGGTGAGTGGGACCCACCAAGCTTTTTAGTCAGAGGGTAGGGAGCTGGTAGGGGGATGGGGATGCCTACCATCTACCTTTGCAATACTGCAAACACAAGCTTGAAGAGATCCCACTGCCTCTAGGGAGCCTTTTTAGCCCACCCTTCAGGCCTTCATTCTCAGAACTTACCAGATACGTTAATCGAGGCCCCTGCATCAATGATCCCACTGTTGGGCCTCACGCAGTACCTACGCGGTGCCGTGGTCTTCACTTTAAAACACACATTTCGATCTGTCGGGTTGCCAAGCTTCAGGTTGGTGGTGACAACATCGGTAAAGGGACCTGCAGAATGAGACAGGGACTGGTTGGGGATCCCATGAGGGCCATGCGGAGGAAAGACTGATTTATGGTACGGGGTCAGGGTGGATGTGGAACGTGGGTGTCCCAGGATCATTTCATCATGACACACAGGAGAGATGGGCTGAGGCTGACGCACTAACAGTGACAGCTAAAACCCACCACGGTCTCATCACACCACCAGGCACCTGGCCTAGTGAGTGTTCCAGCAGACAGGGTCTCCCTGATACCTCACAACTTTACTGACAGACAAGAACACTGAGGCTTGGGAGAACGTACCACTTGTCTAAAACTTTCACGGTAGGTAGTGGTAGCGAGGGTCTGCAACCAGGCAGCCTGAGTCCAAGGCCAGCTCTTAACCTATGCTGAACACAGATTTCCACAGTAACCAGACGAAATCTAACAGAGAGAAGGTAAAGGACTAGACTTGGGTCCAAAAATGATGGTCAAAGGCAGGGTGCTAAAGGCAGCAGATGCAAGAAAGACTTCGAGGTGTTAGTGGTCTGTAAACATACCCCCCCCCCCCACACACACACACACTGCAGTGATGCTACAGTGAGGTCAGAGTCCTGCGGGGCAGCCCACACCTAAAACAGCACGTTCACTTTTAACTATCCGGGGCACTAGAAGACTGAAACGAAGCTCAGTGCCCTGAGGGTATTTTTTTATTATTATTTATTCATTTTCTACTTTATTAGATTTTTTAATTAAAAAAGTAAAACATGCTTCTTAAAACAAGCCAAACAATAAAAGATGTTTAAAGAGGAAGTTAATAAGCTTTCCCCTGTCCCCTGAGGTAACTAATATTAACACTGTGGGAGATCCATCCACATCATCTATGCTTACACAAACTGTACATACATACATAAGTATGTGTGTGTGTGGTAACAAAAATGGGATCATACTACTCACACTCTGAAACTTCTCTGAAACCTGACCCGTAAGGTTTATAAAGGAGTTAGGTGGGAGGGTTGGACTACACTGTCTCTTAGGTCCTTTTCACCCTTTTCAAATTTACATCTTTTCACGGTGTACACCAATGGTGTCTTTGTGCGTCTCCCAGGCAAGCTCTTTACTCCTATCTTTACGTTCACAGGGAATTCAGAGATGGGGTGGGAGGTATATGTGCCCCTGTGCTCACAAACTAAGAAATACACACAGTTGGTTCATCTGCTCCGTAAGAAGATCTGCAACAAAGACACTTACATCTGTGCCTCAAACATTTTTCAATGAGACTCTGAGCTTCTGAGGACAAGAATGATACCTTACCAGTTTTCACATCTCCGACACAGCGCCTGGCATCCAGTAAAGGGATGGGGGCAGGGGCTGAGAGACGGAGACTGACTGAGAGTCCTTCACCAAGGAGGAAACTGCCTCGTGGATTACCACCAGCAGAATTAAAATCTCAGGCTGCTTTCTCGCCTCTGGAGGTACCTCTGAGTATGAAAAATCAATCTGATATGGGCTTAACAAATATAAATTAAGAAATCAATAACGGTGAAAAGAAAGAAAGGAAAAGAGACTCAATTCCAAAATAAAATAAACTACAGCCAGTTCTGCTAGAAAGCTTATTTTGAAAATGTGAATCTGTTTCAATGTGATTGATGTGCATATTAGGGAGACAATCTGAGCATAAAATGAATTTCACATTTGCTTATGTGTGATTTTGTCTGCAAGAAACGCTAAGTGATCACAGAAAACAACATCCAGCTGAACTGAATGGCACAGAGATACAGAAAACACACAAATACACACATCTCCACAACTACCACCTACGTGGGCTCACCGTGCGGCCCTCACAAACTGTAACTCTTCCAACGACCACTTCCACAGGCAAATGTCCGTTTTTCCTGGTAAAGCATCATATTTATTGCAGTATTTATCTATTTCTGAGCCATTTACTGTGTGCTAAACTGTGCTTCTGCTTATATTAGTTTCCCATCTTTATGTGTTTCTGTGACCAACAAAGCTTTTGAGTGTTACGCTTCTAACCTTGTTCGTTCCTCTTAAGTCTTACGGTCTTCTGTGCTATTTTGTATAGGATGGCGGCTTTTAGGAATGCATATATCATATTATAGCAGGAACTACCATACTACTGGATTATCTATAGCTTTGTAGTTACTTATACTAAAAGCTACTTCCATTCTTTGAGCAGTGACACCTTCAAGAATGAAATGGCTAGGGAATTTCCCAGTGGTTCAGTGGTTAAGACTCCAGACTTCCACCGCCGAGGGTGATAGTTCAATCCCTGGTTGGGGAACTAAGACCCTACAAGTCACGTGGTGAGTTAAAAAAAAAAAAGTGAAACACCTAAAAACAATTTCTCCATTTGCTTATCTTTCCCATAAGCCCTGCCTTTAACCCTCTGGCAGCCAAACTGGAAGCCACGAGAGGGAGGCATTCTCTAGGTCCAACTGTGGCCAGAGGTGGGGTGTTCTGTCTCCCCTACTGACCACCACACAAAGCCTCTCCCTACAAGCTACGTCACCCCCTTACTGAGGGTGGGCACCCTGTGGCTCCAGGGGATTTGCAGCTACAGTGAGGGAAAGCCAGGTGCTGCCCACACTGCATCCTTGTATCAAGCTATTGGCCTCCAGGGAGAAACAGGACACTTGGTGCTGAAGGCAGCACCTTTATGCGGGATTATCCAGGGCTACACCCTTTTCTACTCCCCAACACACGCAGTCTGGCTCAGAATGAAGATGGAGGAAGTTTTCTCCCAGTAAGTCTCTTTGCTTGAAATGGTATCACTTCAGCAAGGGTAAAAAAGAAAAAAACAAAAAACAAAAAACGAAAAACACAACTCTGGTTTCCTGGAGTCAAAGAAAGCAATTAAATAAGCACACAAACACAGCTCAGACTTACACGGGCACGATCACCATGTACATACATTCTTTGGCCCTCACATAAAAAGGGCCCACTACAAGAACTCCACATAAGCCTAGCTCCAGCTCTAATGGCCCCACATTGCTGGGGGGAAAGGAGAAGAAAACAGATTAAAAAAAAAATGTAGCCATCTGAAAAAAGGTGAGCTTTCAAATACAAAGCCTACGGGGGAACAATACTCTCACTGATAATCTGAATGTGATTCATAAACCACCAGGCCTTAAAGCTTTCTAGATACCAGCTGAAATCTGTTCGTTTCAACAAAATTCTGCCTCAAGAACATGGAAGCATCTTCAGATTAGAATGCCAAGAAGTCATAAGAGCCCGCAGATGCACATCCACCACCCCACCCGGCCAAAAAACAGCATTTTCCAAGGTGGTTTGAAGCATACTAAGCAGAAAACAGGGATTTGGCGAGATTTCACTATGATGAAATTAAGCAAACGCGTTTCCAACTCAGCTTCCCCTGTCCCTTCCTCCTCCTGCTGCCGCATAAATCAGAGTCAGGGATGAGTTTAAGTGCGTCTTTCCTCTGCAATGACCTTTTCTTCTAGGTAGTCCACAAAAATAAAGCAAACTTAACTGCGGACACTAATCTGCTTCTGGAAACTCCACTGGTTAACCTGCTACACAGCAATCTAAATAATATTTTAACCTATATGATTCATGTAAAAAGTAGTCTAAACTATTAAAAAAACAAACATTATTTGTAATAAATAAGTAAAATAAATAAATATCCCAGATTTCTCCCTCAACACTCAGTCTAAACCTTTAAGTATTAGAGACTTCTTGGGCTTACGCAGGCCTTTTTTTTTTTTTAATCTAGAGGAAACAATGCCAAAAATATATGCAAGTGAACAACTTCACTGATAAAACAACAAAGTCTAATGTGAAAAAATCAAGACATTCTGTAAAAACAGGCCAACCCTTCAATCCACACTCTGGACAATCCAAGAATTTTATTGAAAACAAATTCTACTTGATTTGAGTGATTACAGGAAATAAACTATGTTATTGTTCTCCTTTTCTCCTGTATTAATGAATTAGAATACAAAAAAATCCCAATAAAAATGATGTAAGAGCTTGTGAGCATCATTCAGATTTTTACTAGTCATTTTCCTTTCATAAAACTGCCATTTCCATTAAAGCATCATGTAAAAATGGGATTTTACTATACCAACATGGGTGTTTATCTCCAATGAACTTAAAACACTGCTTACATAGTAGAGTCAATTTTACAAATGAAATATTCAAAAACTAAACTTTCTACTTTTAAGAGATGAAAAAATGATTTGGCATCTCCAGAGCTGCAGTGCATTCATTTAATCATTTTTCTTTCTAATCTTCTAGTCTTTCAGACAGTTAGGCAGATATTTTAAGAACATCTAAAATGTGAAACAGGAGGTCCCCCTAAATGAACCAACATGAGTTTGAGAGAAATTAGGAATATTCTTTAAAGTCCTAATTTTTTTTCTTTTCAGCCATTTGAATAATGTTCTTTATGCCCTATATTATGCATATTCATCTGTGAAAATGCTTGTGAGTTTGATAGATGCTCATGAATAGCATTAACTAACTTGAATTCGAATTCCGTAACATGCTTTAAAATGTATTAAGATAAAACTAAGCACAGTATAAACCATTTCCTCACTCAAGGTCAGCTTATTGTCATTTGAAAGTGTATATTTTAAGACACGAAGAAGATCTAGAATTGTCCTGTCTTAGAAAGTAAATAATAGAATATCAACAGAAGTATGCATAGCATCAAAAGTAAAAGCAGAAACCATGGATCTTTCAGTCTTACTTACAGAAATGGAGTCTCATAATTATAAAGCTCTGGTTTTAAAGGTCAAGGAAACAAAGTCACAAGCCAGCAAACTTCTCAACAGCATGACATAAGATTTCAGGTAGTGGCAATTTCATCAAAAATGGCTAGATAAACTTATCAATCAAGAAACACAAGAGCATTTTGTGGAAAAAGCATTCCATCAAATCTTGAAAGATTTTACCAATATATGCATGGTTTAAGTATTTCCTTTCTGTGACCATTCACTCCAAGATCCATGGAAGAAAAGACTATAACAAAACTCTTCCTTTCA